CTGTGCAAGACCCGCACCTGTGCAAGGCCTTCCCCTGTGCAAGACCCGCACCTGTGCAAGGCCTACAACAATGGACTAGAGCCACCTGCTTTAACCTCACAGAGGCTTTATACTGACCAAGAGAGAAGTGAACCCTGCCAACCATAGGAGTGCAGGAGAATCCCTTGTCCTCTCCCCTGCTCTTATCCTCAGGGATTTGGCCATTTTCTTAAAGGCAAAAGGGGTTAAATGCAGATGAATGAGTGGAACGCGTCTCTTCTTTTCCTTCTCATCAAGCTGAGAGATTCTCAGTCTCAGCGTTTATCAGACTTGCTGGGCCAGCTTCACACAGACCCATGGTTCGTGCTTTATGCGCGAGTTAAGATATTCACGGGGATATAAACATTTTTTTCTTGCCGTGAGCACTGACTTTAGAAGCCAACTCTCACGTACACAGAGGATGTGCCTACACTGCATTTCCTTAAAGAATGTTTTCTCCTGGGTGCTGTGAACTTGAATCTTCACAGAGTGGGTAACAGGTCTTTGCTGAGGTCAGGAAGACATCCCAAGTAAAGGTCACCGGACCAGCTAAAGGAGGGGTCTGGGGAGAACTGGGGACAATGTCCTGCCTCTGGACCCCGCCCACCGAGATATCCTTTCCTTCTCACCAGCCCCTTCGAGCCAGGGAAAGATTTCCAGGAAGCAGTCAAGGCAGAGGAAATATAAGTGATAAATCAATTTTGTTTTGGATTTCTCCCTCTCCTTTCTAAACTCAGCTGAATTAGTATTGGGTGGAAACTCCAATGAATCAATTTTACGTTTCTTGGATCTAAAATAGAACAGGCCATAGTGGAAAAGGCAGGGGCCTGCCGCCTCCTCCAGGAAGCCTTCTCTTTGCTGTTCTTCAACAGCCTTCACACGGGAATCTGTGCCCGTTTGGAGGGCTAAGCACTGCTTTCAAATGGCTTCTTGTGAACACAGGTCAACTCCAGTACTGTACTGTCCCCACCTAAGGGACCAAACATGGGACAAGAGTTAGATTGGGGCTCTCTTGCCATTTCAGGAGCAAATACTGAATGACTCCCGGGGGAGACACTGTGCTATGTACATGGCCTGAGACGATGCAGATAGACTTGTCAGAGTGCGGGGGTGGGGGCAACAGTGAGACAGAGGCAGAGAGAGAATACCGAGGAAGTAGACAGACAGAAATGAGGGGATAACTGGAGGAAGGGGTGCGAAGGGGAAGGTGGAAGGAGGGAGAAACTGAGGAGAAGGAAGGGGTTTGGTAAAGGGAGAAAGGAAATAAGATTTTTGGAAGAAGAGGGCTGGGAAGAGGGCTGGGAATGAGGACAGCAGAGGAGCCGGGAGAGGGGACAGACTGGGATGGGTGCAGGGTGACACCCGCATTCCCGAAACACTTCATTATCTCAGGTCAGTCAGTGTCGGGAAAGTCGCTGGAAGGTCCTGGCTTTTCTGCCACCAAGAATCCTGGCAGCTTCTCAGAACTGGCTCGCGGTGCTGAGCTGGCCGTCGTGATGTTACACAACCAGACGTGCTGCCAATGTTTTTATATAATCCTCCGGTTCTCCCCATAAAACAGACCATAACACCCTGGCAAATACACTCCAATAAAGCTGTGTGCTCTTACGGGGCACGCTGCCTTCCGGGAGATGAATCACGCCGCCAGATCGGCCAAGTGGCCGTGGATCCAAACTTTCTCCCCTCGTGGCTTCAGCCGAATTGGAAAGGTCAGAAAAGCCACAGAGCCCATCAGAAGTACCTGGGGAGGAACACCAGGGGCCTGGGGGTGGCGAGAAAGAGCCGGGGGAGTTAGAAGTGTGCTCTGCTCTCTCTGAGTGGGTGAGTGAGGCTGGGGACAGTTCTCAAATCTTGGGATGTCACCCAGCCTCCGGGTTGAGAGGCAGGCTGGGCATCCTGAAGCAAAGCCCGAGACGACCCCACAGCCACCTCCCAGCGGAGCCTGTGACTGATGCGTCCTGAGGGAGGTTTGCTGGGGCTGCCAGTGCAGAAACCAGAGCACAGCACAGAGGAAAAAGCCCACGAACTTTTCTCCTTCCTGTCAGACCCGGCACAGAGCAACTCAAGGATCTGAAGTGGAAAAGTACTCGGTCCCACCAGCTGCAGCCATGACCCTGACTCTCACGACCCGATGCTGACTCTCAGGGGTGACCCACACTTGCCCTGGTGGAACAAGGAGCCCCCCCACCAGCATCTGGGCTTCTCACAGATACTCCCATAGACCCGGGTCCCCAGGCACCATAGCCCAGCATCCACCTATGTAATTAACACCTGCCTGGCCCCTGCTGGGCCGGACTCTTTGTCCACCAGCTGGCAGCCTCACCCTTGTCCCACGGCACTTTCTGGAACAAGCCCTGAGCATCCACACGATGGGGGACTGAATAGGCCCTGTGGTCAGGGAGGCCCCTTTCCCCAGCAGCACTAGAGAATGCCACCCGGCAACCTCTGAAGGGCAGCGTCACCCTCTCCCCCTCCTCCACTTCCAGGCGGTTGGGGAGTGGTCCCTGGCCAAGCTCAGCTCCTGGAGAAGCACAGAGCGCCTGGGCACCGCCTGCTCCCAGAGCAGGTCCTAGACCCTCTTTAGAAGTTCTCTCAAGTTCTCTCTGGGGATAAGGTGGAGTCATCGCGTGTGTGGTGGGGGGTGTTCTCAAGTGTCCACTGGGGGAGTGAGTGAACTGGTGGTCATCCAGGCCAACACCCTCTGCTAATAGGAGCCCTCAAAGAGGCCCCCCTCTTTCCTACCTGCCTCCTGAAGTAACAAGAGTTTGATCCCAGCCCCCCCCCGTTAGCCATCAGGCCCCTGGGGTCGACGCAGGTGCCTGGGACAGTGCCCCTCACGCTGCCCCCTTAGTCCGCGGGCGCCGGCTGGCTCACCGTTCAGCTGGTTGTAGACCACCTCCTCCAGGTGGTCCAGGCGCTGCAGGATGGCTTCGCGGTCCACCAGCGCGCCCGCCTTGCCCAGCCGACTGCGCACCCGGCGGTCAGCGCTGCGCACCATCTGCACCAGCCCCTCGGAGCGGTCCTGCAGGCGGCAGTACACGGAGAAGAGGATGATGCCCACGAACACCAGGATGTTGACCGTCAGCAAAGTTTTGATCTTCCTGGCCACCGCCATGAACGCGGTGGGAGCTGGGGGCTGCCTCGCCCACGGGGCGCCCGGTGGGCACGGCCAGAGAAGCCTCCGCCCAGCCCGCCGCTTGGTGGACCATGAGCCAGCCCTGCTGGCCGCGGGGCCGCGGGGGCTGCGGGAGGGGGCTGTGCGGGGGGTGGAGGCTGCGAGTTGGGGGTCTACGAGCCCAGGTCTGCAGCAGGGGCTGTGGGTGAGGGGACTGTGGGTGAGGGGGCCGTGGGTGAGGGCACTGCGGGAGGGGGAGAGGGCTGCGAGCCGGGCTCGCGAGTGGTCGCTGCGCCTGGGAGCTGTCCCTTCAGCACCACCCGCGCCAGCTCAGCGCGCCCCGCCGCCGCCCGGGGTCCCCGAGCGCAGGGGCTGCCCG